TTTAATTTAAATTACGGATAAGGAATTTATTTAATCTAATAAAATATTTAGGTAAAAAATAATATGAATAAAAAAATTAATATTTATTATTTCTAATTATAAATGCAAAAATAATAATGAATCCAGATTTTCTGGCCAAGCACGTTCTTCTTTATCCTAAAAAACTTCCAGCAATGCTAATTCCTCGTTCAGAAGAAACACTGGTTGCTGGAATTCCCAATATTTTTCTAGCTAATCTTGATAGCTTTGATATATCTTTTTCCTTTCGTTTCCACCAAAGTAGGCTATCCGATTGAAGTATATCCCCTTCCTCAAGTGAGATATTTAAATAAAAAGTGAAACTATTAAATAAATTTTAGAAAAGTAATTTGAATTAATTTTTTTATAAATTGTAAACTTAAACTAAACTAAAATTAGCCTAAAATTTTGCTAATTTATATCGAAACTCGTTACTTTAAAAATTAAATATTTTGTTTTGTCATCAGGTAAGGTGCTCTCCTCTGTAACAATCACATCTTCCCATCTGTTGTTAGTTCAAATTTGACGAGGAAGTTATATATTTCAAACATTGCATTTATAATTAAATACCTTTATTCGAATTCTCTTTGCTTTTGGGAAAGTCAGATGTTTAACCACGTTGATGTTATATTCTTCCATGCAAGTCAAATTCAACCTCAATTATCGGAAATTTGGTATAAAAATGTTGAAATTTAATGGAGCAATCTTTAACCAGGCCGCCCTGGCGACCATTCTTTAAAAAATTTTAACCCGCATACCCACTTAGATGGGCGGGCGGGCGAAAAAGCCCGCCCAACGCAGACCTCGTCTACGCTGCACCGACACAAAAGTTTACAACTTTTCCCGACCAAATATTAGAGTGCCATCTATTTTATATTGGCCTTAATCGGCTAAAGCTCCACTCAGACCTTACCTTGCGCGCCAATGATAGCGTATGCTACAGATCATATACATAAATTAGACAATTTTGAGAATTTTTTTATAGGCTTAGCAAATAGTTATCATATTGTTCATTAATATACATATTTTTCTATTATCTCTTACATTACAATTACATCTGACAGTTTTTTGAACTATATCCTATAAAAGAAAGATCTTTAGTTTTATATACATAAGACAAAAATAAAGGAGAGTGAATTGTATTCTTTCGTGTATCTTCATGGGTCGAATTAAAGATAATTTTTAATCAAATAAGAGTTTTTTTGGGGGATGGTTTTATTCTTCCTTCTTTCCCCTTTTTCTATTCCTCTTTTTTTCCATTCCCTTTAAGCTTGCATATAATATATAACATGACCGGTTTTAGTTAGGCCCCTTCCTACTTATTATATTTAAGTTACAAGGTTTTTTGACATCCTTGAATTATACAGAGATGGACTTCTGCATGAGTCGCGCTCGCGCATTAATGGGCATGTCCTAAAAACAACGCGCTAGGATAAGATATTTACTAATTTTGCTATTAAGTCTAGCGATTCCTTCGTTCCCTAGTGATTACTAATGCCAAAATTTATTTGGACGAAAATATTCTAGATCACTTATGAGGCCTTTATTTTTTTTGAAGAAAATATCTGATTAAAACGTGATTTTGGCAATAATAGGGTCGAAATACCTGAAATCCATAAGGGATTACTAGAATTTAAAAAATTAATATACCACATTTGAAATAACTTCCAAAAACAGTAATAAAATCTCAGCAAAATCTTTTTCATTTTTAAATATAACTAAAAAAAATATTAAAAAACAAAAAAAAAGTGTCTACTTTGTGTTGTATTTCCTTCATTTTCGGTTTAACACATTTATCAGTAAATTCGGTTTTACTAGCTTTTAAATTTTGTTAAAGGGATTACCCCTCATTGGCGGTAAGCGCGAATTCGCGACGAATAATAAAAACGATCCGTTTCAACAAAATCAAGGGTTAGCGATTTTTTATGAAATATCTAGCTTTATATGTCATATGGATTTTAATTTTGGATCAAATAAGTATGCGAGTAAAAATCAAGGTTACCAACGGGGTTAAATCAGGCCAAAACGGGCCGATGGCCCGCAAAGAGGTAAGGGTGGGCGCAGCCCCCTATATAAAAATAGCCTTTCTCTCTCAGTTCAAAACTTTTTACCTGGCAACTCCTGTTCACAAGAATATCAATATTCCTTGTTTGAAAGAGAGCGCGATAATATAAATGTTCAATAAGAGTCCGTGTATTCCTTAGCAACCTACTAAACAACTCTAAAATTTTTTTTAATAATAATAGCCCATGCGCATTTTCTTCGAATAAACGAATCTTAAACTATCTGTCCAAGTCTATTCCCTACATTAAAAAAAAGTTGCCATTTTGATTTCGCTAATCTTTATTTGAGCGGGAAAAATTTATTTAAAAAATTGCTTATTTCAATTGGCCTCCAGAAGCTGTAATATCGTGATGGTCTCCTCAACATTTTGCTAAGTCACGCTAATGGGCAACGGTTCAGTTATCGTAATAAAAAAAATTTAATATTTTATCCTTAATGCAAGCCGTTTCGTGTAAAATTTTAATTATTATAATTTATCGGTTTTAGTTTAGTCCTGCGCAAACTCCTATCCTTTTTTTTAGCCTGAACCAAGCCCGAAATATTTATTAATTTTTAAGCCCGGCAGGGAACTTTTATTTTAAACCCAAGCCCGACCTGGAATATTCGATTTAAAACGAGAGTAAAAATTAAAAATCACTGCTTTGTGTACATTCAAAAAAAAATTGGGGGGTAAGAAGGGGTAGGTGGTGGGGCCCACCCCATTTCTAAAATCATATGTTCGTTCATTTCATTAGAGTTCAAAAAATATGTTATAGCAAATATAAATTAGCTTATTTGAAGTTTTAGAGGCCCTTTATAATAATATTTCGAAATTTTATTTCTTTTTTTAACTATAAAACTACCTTATTGTTAAAACAACACGTCCAGTAAGCATTAAAAAAAAAAAGAATAAATCACAGCTGTTTAAATAATAAAATATTTTTTAAAAAAAAACAAGGTTTATTTGGAAGAAAAAAAAAGGCCAGATTGCGTAATATGTAATATTGTAATCAATAACTCCTCAAGGGCATAAATATTGTATTTTAAATAATTTTAATTAAATATATAGTTAGAACCACAATTTATTTCTTCAAGGAGGAAAAAAACTTAGCGGGAGGGATTATCGGGAAAGTTCTCGGGCAAGAGATGTAATAGGCATGGGTAAGTGGAAAATATGGGAGATAAAAAATGAGACACTTAAAAACGCTGAGATAATCTAGTCACAAACCTGGTCGAGATTAAGTTCATGTTTATTAAATTTATAATAGTTGATAAACTAACAAACGGGAATTCAAGTTCGGACCTAAACGAATCCTATAGAGATGCAAACCTTGGGAAGGGTAATAATGGACATGGGGAATTGGAATGCGAAGGACGCCATCTTTAAATAAATGATTAAACAACACGTATTCGCGCCAGAAAAAGTGATTCATATTTAATCGAAATTTTAAAAATATTTTTAATAAGGACTGGTTTATGGTAAACGCGAAATATTTCGATGTCACTTTCGCGATGCGTAATTTACAAAATACATGTTAAATTATACGGCTATGCTATCGTTTAGCGATATCGCGCTTACCATAATATAGGCCTAAGGGTCGCATGCAGGCCAAAATTCTGCCACCCCCCCCCCCCAATATTTTGTCGTAATCTTAAAAAAAAGTGCTTAATAAAAAAAAGTAATTATATTTTGTTTATACCAATGATATACAAGAATAACCTAGATTGACGATGCATTCATTCAAAGTGCTCATCAATGAGAACAGCTGAAAACGCCATTTTGATTTCCCATATAACGGCCAACTTATTCCCATGTCTGACGAGATAGTTAAAATAGTACTTTTTAACAGCTGATTTGCATTCAACGACGTTTTCAAATGCATCATTGATGAATGCATCGTCAGTCTAGGTATTATTACATGTCATGTCATTGATTCATACATAATGTAAATTATGAGGTAACAGGTAAAAAAATTAAATAAGCATAACACTTTAAGTTAAAGAAGAGAAATATATATAATAATTAGCCAATTTCGTATTTTTTTCTTTAACAAAAAAGCATTATAAATAAATAAGACAATTCTTTTTTTTTTGAAAACAAAGTAGAATTAATTATATTATATATATTTTTTTTTTGCCCAAAGCTATTCTTGAAATGAGGAGATTCAAATTTATAATGCTATAAAGAAAAGCTAATAAAGACCTTTTCAAGGGTTGAGGCCAAAGTCTTTTATTTTTATTTATTTGTAGTTTGGATGGGTAGTGTATAAATAGCGAGAAATCATTTATATTTCTTTTTATGAAATGTTTATTTTGACTTTGGACGCACCCCTTAAAGGTGTAAAAATATAATATAAAATAATGTATATAATAAAACAACAAAATTTTTAAAAGCGCATTCAAAAAAATAAAATATAAAAGCCGGATTTAAAGCCTCCATAGCAACCGCGATTTGCACAAAGCGATGCGAAATTAATCGCTATAATCGGCATAATTTATAAATACGTAGCGAAATGATGAAGATCGCGACAGCTGTTTTACGTAATATTTCAAAAAAAAGGATCACAACAGTGGGGAATCAGCTGTGATTTCGCATGGCTTAAGCAAATGGCGCTTACTATAAATAGAGCGTTAGCCTCTCGATAAATCATTTAAATTTAGAACAAGGCTCAATATAGTTCCTCGAGAAATATAAAAACCTATCCAGAAGCAGGCAATTTTTTTTTATATAAAGCAAACAAAAAAAGAGAAGTAAATAAATTGAGAAAGGAAATATATGTGCTTAAATTTAAAACAAATATTTGAACAAAAAAAAAGACACTTGCATTATTAGAATACTAAGTACTTTAATGTAAGCTTGAAGAAATTTTTTTGTTTTAAGTGGTTAAAAAAAATGTAAAAAGATAAAAATAAATAAACGACATAACAAAACGTAGTACCAAATAATTGGAAGCGGATGCGATTAAATTAGCGGCGGCAGGCCTTCCCAAATAAATTTCTGGCTTAGCGTTAACGGGCGTCAAAACACCGCTAGCATCACAGTAATAGTAGCAGGGGAAGCCATTACCATTCTCCCCACTCATGCTAGACATACTATTATTTATCATCAAGCTAGGCGGAATATGAGACGGTCGTTGATTTAAGGGACAAATATAATAAGAAGCGGGATTTAAATCGGCAAAGCTGGTGGCGGGCGCATGCAAGAGCTTATTGCTGTTCATCCGTTTATTAGGGGAAGGGGGTTGGAATGGTTGGAGGGAAATAAAAGGTTCGCGAGTCTCGTAAAGAATGTTAGCTTCCTGACGGCCACGCTTTTTAACAACGCGAGGCAGAATGGCGGAAGATTTAGCGAGTGAAGCACATGGGGGGACGAAGGTAGTAGCGGAGTTAAGTGAAAGCCTAGACTATAAAAAAAAATGTTAAAATAATCTAATATTTTTATATAAAAAAAAACAAAAACAAATAAACGTTTTATTTAGTTTAATTCAGTTTATAGTTGGATAATTGCTCTATATTTTATTTTTGATTTATAACTCCGGGAAAAACGGCGAAATTTAGTTTTTAGCCAATAATTTATCATCTCAGGTTGGCTGTTTTTTTTTGAAAATATAGCTTAACTTTTAAAAGAAAGCATAAATAAATTAAATCGCGGGCTAATGCTTAGTAAAAAAAAATCCGACGCGCGGTTGTGGATTGGGCCGAAACCCAACGATACTCATAACCAAACTCCAGAGAGGTGGTAGGTAAATAGCCTCACAGAAAAAAAGAATAATATTTTATAAACCCAACCAAATCAGCTGTTTTGAGTGATATATCGAGAAGAGTGAGTCATTTGCTGCAAAAGTATAATACCAAAGATCACCATTTTTAAAATTCGGAAAAGAAAAAATTATTCATCTATCTGTTAAATTTTTTAAAAAAAGGCCAACAAGAATATGGTGTTGGATTTGATTTAATTATTGTTTAAAATTAGCGTTTAATTAAATAACCTTAAAATCGAGGACTATTTACCGACCACGATGCATGTTGGCAAAAGGTAGAAATGATAAAAGGATGTTTGATTTATTTAGTTTTCCAAATAGTTATCAAGATTTGATTTTCAATCGGGTAGTCGTTAAGCAAAAAAAAATGGAGGTATAAAAAAAAAATTATTTCATAATTTTGAATCTACTACAAACTCAAACGTATTTAAAAATGTTCATATATAGGAAGCAACTGTAGCGCCATTTAATGTTCTGCGCGTCGGTTAGATGCCATTAATGTGCATTCATATAATGATACATAAAGACAATTAGTCGACATGCAAACCACAAAATGGCGTCACAGATGACTCCTGTGTATGGACACTTTTGATTGGTGAATCCCCAATATGGTAATCTATATATATCATTGTACAAACTTTAATTCTGTTTTCTAATAAGAAATACATATAATTTTTTTAAATGCTCTCCCGATAAAATTTTAAAATAAAATCGGATATAGAAAACAGTCTATAATAACTAAACCAACGAATTCAATTAATGCGATAATACGACAAAAATTTATGCATAGCTATTATTGGAGAAATGTTCAATTTTATCATTTGATCTTACTTCAATTATATTTTTAAGATTTCAAAATAATATATTTTTTTAAATATACTTTTCCAGTGGCATTGTTGTGATGTAACGTACTAGTAGCGTCGACGAGAACGGTGGAAGATATTGGACAAATTTCGCCATTTTGCGATTCGTGGGGTAGTATACCATTTAAAAATAAGTTTTTGTCGCATTCGACGTAATTATTACAACCATCCTCAGTATTCGGGTCCGTAAAAATAGTCTTTTCGGTGGAAGAGCGGGTATCGACTATTTTGGAGATAGAAGTGGGATTAGTAAGGTCGAAGCTACTTTTGTCGAGCGTTGTATCGCAGCCGTTGATGGCCTCTTTCGCGATTCCTTCACTCTTCTTCGCCTGGTCAGGTTCTTTATTTTCATTACTTCCGCTGCCTAACTTAGCCTCATCAACCCTATAAACTTCATCGTCAACGTTATCGAGATGGTTAACGTTTGCCGAATTAGCTTGCCCCGCGTCACCCTGCGTTGGGTTATTTTTTTCGGCTGCGGGTCTGTCCGCGTCTTCCGGAATTTCACTCTCCTTCCCCTCGACATTACCCTCCAAACAATCTCTATTATTGTTGTTGTTGTTCAAGAGGGGGGAAGGTGAATTGGAATTGCAGGAAGATGAGTGAAGGGAAGATCTAACGGAAGAAGGGAAGGAAGGAATGGCGCTATGCATGGAATTCGTGGAAGAGTGGAAAGGAGGACCGGGGTGAAAATATTTGCAGGTGTCGCCTCTAGAGCATTTACCTTTCAGGGCGTCCATACATACCTTGAATGCGTGATTTAATATTAAAAAAATATATATTAAACATTAATCTTCTCTCCTTAAGGTTTTCAAATTTCTTTCTTTCCTTCGGTTTAATCTGTAATCCTTCAATTGTTTCACTTCTGAAAGTTAAAAATTTTGCGAATAGAGTTATTATTTTTTTAGCCCATCAGAGTAAAGTTTAGAAATAAGTTCTCGATAAGGTAAAAGTTTGGGTCATTTTTTTGGCAATTTTTTAAAACTGTTATATAAAAAGAAAATAAATACTTTTTAAAGCGCGGTCCAAAATTTTACGACACGCTTATAGTGCGCACAAATTGAACGCTTCAAACGCAGCGTTTCAAAAAGCAAATAAAATAAAACGTAAACGCAATTGAACCGTTAATTCTATTTTTTTTTAAATATGAAACGTCTAAATTTAAAATCAAAAAAAAAATATTGTCCAATTTGAACGGATGCATTTAAAATGCATTATTTGCGTTTTGAAACGCTGCGTTGAAACGTTCAATATGTGCGCAATATTATTCCTATGCGATATTCATTCTATTTTAGATGCTTATTATAGGGTTGTCCAAGAAAAAATTTGGTACCTTTCGTACACCTTAATCATTATTTTAACCATAATTATTTTATTATTTCATAATGGTCAGATTATATTCTATTTTATTAACTCAATATTGAAATTAGCAGAGTTGTTAAAGGATCTAGATACTTTAGATATAAAAATGTGGTATCTGTATTTAGATAGATTTTTGATTAAATAATCTGTATCTAGATATTATTTTAGACGTTGTATCTGTATCTAGCTAGATCCATTTAAAAAAGTATCTTTTAACAACTCTGGAAATTAGTGATCTGCATCGGGCTTAATTTTTCAAACCCGGCCCGGTCCGAAATTTTTTTAAAAAAGTTTTGCCGGTCCGGCCCGATTTTTATTTTATTACCGGCCTGGTCCGATAATTTATTATAATTACTCAAAATAAAAGATATATGTTATATGGCGTCTAGTTTCTATAAATAAAATCAAATAATTTTATATAAACATTTCAACATAAAAAATTGATAAATTTAAAATATATTTAGAAAAAAATTCCAAGATCCGACCCGGCCCGAATTTTTTTTTAAAATATAAGGCCCGACCCAGCCTGAACACCATTTCTTTTTAAAACATAGACCCGGCCTGAAGCCCGCAGATCTCTAATTGAAATCACTATTTTATAAACCGGATTCTGTTATAAGAAAATAGAAATAATACGAAGAATGGAAAAAACATTAAAAATATCGTCCATATTTTAGGGGGAAGCATTGGCGGCAAAACATTTACCATATGATCAGCACATAACAAAAAAAAGTTGGACAATTTTGAGTAGCAAAATTGAGATTTCCCTATCCCCTACGTACTTGGGAAAGAATTATATATTCCACCTGCAATGAGTTTTTACATTCCTTTATATCGAAAATATTCACAAAATGTCGCCCCTCAATGATCCGTGTAATGGCATTGTAGTCTACAGGGTATTTAGCCTTATTAATGATGAAACATAGTAAAAGTGGTAAGAAATAGGGCGAGACCATCGCTTGTTTGTCCACTATAAACTCCGCTACTTACAATCGTTTATTAGAAATATGGATCAATTAAACTGATCATATAAAAGGGCTTCAATCACTCGATTCAAAATTGAATTCATCTAAATGAAATAAAATGTTATATAATAATAATCGAATATACATTCGTAACATGTTACTGTTAGAAATATACCTTCTGAAGATGGTGCACTTAATTTGCTTTATTACGAATTTTTAACTCCATTAAATAAAATAAATTTCGAAATCCTCAACCCTTTAAAATATGTCAGTCAAAAAAAAATTCCCCAAAAATGTTGGGCCCTACAAAGGCTCAACAAATTGCGAATATCTTAAAAAAATTCGGCAAACATAACACATTAATATTATAAAAAAATTTAATTATAGAAATAAAAACCAATTGTATATGTAGATAGTATCAGATATCTGTTTTAACGGTTTTAATAATGGTGGGATAACACCTACCCCGCCTTTATCCTGAAAGGTATATATATTTAAATTATTTTTCTTTATGATTCAAGTTTAATAAAGAAAAAGTTTTTAAACGATATAATTTATTACATTATTTTACAAGTTAAATTTTAAATTATGGAGGGGGGGGGGGGTAGGTAATTGGTGGATGATCGTAGTTCCAGATCCTGTTACGAAAAAAATAATAATTCCATCTCCGCTAAAAGAATCGCGTTATATTAAGAATAGTTATTACGGTTACGGTATTGGTCGCGTTCTCCAAGGGCAGGTGTTCGGAAGGATGAGCGAATTTGCAATCGGTTTGAGCTCTTTTGCAATTGCCTCGCATATATTCTCTACATATCTGAGAATACAATTAAATAGGCCAGTTAAATATTTCATTTATATTAGATATCTGCAACGGGGCATAATTTTTTAAACCAGGCCTGGCTCGATTTAAAAAAAAATATTTGTGCCGAAAAGTCCGACCCTAAATAAAATTGAATTGTCCACCCGGTTCAATGACATATAATAATACCTAAACTGACGATGCATTCTGCGTCGTTGAATGCAAATAAGCTGGACAAGTAATTATTCTCATGATAAAAACTACTATTAAATCGAAAACTTGCTTCCTTATTATCTTGATGGTCAGGAAATAAGTTTGCGTCAGACATAGGAAAAAATTGGCCTTTCGTTTAACAATATTCAAAATATTAAAATTCGGATCGGGCTGTCATATCAACATTTCAAAAAGCACCTGGCCTAATGAAATTCGGGCTGGACCTAACATTTTGATTTCTGAAATAGTCCTACAAGTCGGATCGAAGCCCGAGTAGACCGCAAATTCTTAAAATAATTTGGGCGAAGTCAGGCTCAGACTTTTTAAATGTCGGGTAAAGTTCGGGGTTAAAACAAATTAAAATTTTAAGGTCTCTGCTTTCAATATATTTATTGTATAATAATTTAGTGAATACTAGTATAAAAAAATATATTACCTCCACACGGTCCAACCTGTTGAGCTGTTGTTGTAACGGGGCATGGTGGGCTATAATCATACCATTAAGTGGGTTATTACTCAAACTCATGCCATTATTAACGTTTCCATTGGTGTCATTGATTGAAAGGCAATTTTGATATGCTACTAGCCCGTTACCAGTGGTAAAGCAGGTGGTGTGATGAGCGGTGAGGGCTGGCGATTGAAGTTGGGCTTGGGGGTGGTGGTGCTGAATCAAAATTGGCTGAGGTGGATGTTGGTGGGTAGCGCCGCCCAGTGATATCCGCCTGGCAATGTGATTGTAATGTGGGGGCGGTTGTAAGTGAGCGTAGTTGATGTATGCTATGGGAGTGCCGTCGGGTGTTAGGATATAATCACCGGGGCCAGGTAATGGCGTCAAAAATTGATTCAGGGTGTTTAAATGGTGGGTTGGACCTGAGCCCGGTGGTGGGGACCCGCAAATGAGGGGCGGGCCCAAGGGAGGAGGGAGAGGGGAGGCTACGTTGGACGTCTGGATTAATTTTTTTTTAAATATTGAAATAATAATTAATAACATGGTTGAGATTTATGAATGTATATTTATATATATACTTATAGTACAGACATACTATCGTGACCTAATCTAGTCTCGTAAATAATATTAAAAATGATAGAATCGAATAAAGGATAAGAATCTTTCCATGATTTTTCCATCATATTTGAAAACTTCGTATGATGGTTATATCGGGTTTAACTTAAGTAATTGTAAAATTTTATAAGACTCTAGTTTATCTGGATCCAGAGTTATGGGCTCTCAAGGTCTCTTCAAATTACTTAATAAATATTTAGTCCAAATCTATAAATTAATTATATAAATAATTGCATTTTTTTATACAAAATTATACATAATTGAAAATAAAAATTAAACACATTAAGAAAAAACGTTCAGGCCCAGATCTTTAAGATATTAAATACAAATATGAAGCTAGCTATAGCTGTAAAAAAAAGTATAACTGTAAGCGCCTTAAAAAAATTGCAGGAACACGCCCAGATTGGCGCCTTGCCCAAAAAATATTTATCAGGGTCCTACTGAAAAACATCTGGGGACAAATGGAATCTACCTCCATCCCGAAGTCATGTTGCAATCTTTTAAAATGAATGGGGGTTAAAAGACAGGCAGTGCTAAAGTATTGCCTAAAGAAAATATTAGTAAAATGGTCACAATTTCAGAGAACCAATCAGAACCACGCGGTAATACTCATTACGACTTTAACGTCATTTTACTCAAAATCTTTTTATAAAAAGGGTAGGTCATAGAGCAACCCTTATGGAGTCTCAGCTTCAAGAGCTTGTGGGGGGGGGGGGGGGATAGAGGGCTTTGGCCCGAAAAATATTTTAAATAACCAGTCCGATTTTTAACCCGCCCGTCCAGGCTAACAAAACCCCGTTCATTACGGACCTCGAACGCATATCCCCTGTTTTACGATACGAGTAATTTAAGCTCAAAGCGAGCGAATAAAAATAATTTATTATAGGTCGCATTAGAATTACCATTTGAGATGCCAGGGGATGGCCGGGAAGGAAAGGCGAGAAAGTAGCTAATTGGCCCATTAAAGCCGCGTTTTTGAGGGCTAAATTGTTCCTCCCATTCACGAGCAATTGTTCTTTTAAATGCTGGGGCGGATGCAGGTATTTGCAAGGTGGCTTCTCTCTGTTACATCTTCCCTTTTGGGCGCGTTTTTTATTTATTTATTAAAAATATTTATTTGATTTAGTTTTCAATCAAGTCAAGTCATTAATTTTTTTTTTCTTTCTTTTCCTTTTATTTCATTGTTTTTCTCTCATTTTTCATTACTTTTATTTCTATATTTTTTTTCCCCCTCAAAAAAACTTATCTATGTTTGTTAGGCGCATATTTTTTTTTAACTTCTCTACAAATTTTAAAAATATTTATTTAATTTTATCTATTGGTTAATTGGGGTAAACATATGTCTTTTTGATCTTAATAATTCTGGTAATTTATTAAAGTTTTTTTTTTAAAAAAAAATAAAATAAAATCATAATAATTATGGAAATATTTTTATTTTTTAAATATAATAAATTAATTTTTTTTGGGGTTTCGTTTTCGCAATAAATAAATCTTTACAAATAACGCGAATTTTAGGATGTGAGATAAAGATTCCCAATATTACGGGCCAATAAATCGTTTTAAAATGTGGTTAAATTCTATATATATATATAGGGTTCGATTTTGAAATGTAGAAGTCAATTTCATGTCAAAATCAATGCTCAATTTCGATAAAAAATAGGCATGTCTTGTATGTTCCAAAATTAAAGTAAAAAGGGATGTTTTTAGCTCGTTTAGCAATGATGTGATTTTATAATGGAAAATGAATATTCTTGTTATTCGTGGTCATCTTATGTCCAGCTGAAAATTAAAATTTGAATTTTTTTTTTAAAAAAAAAAATTATCGCGTCCGTTTAATTTTTCTCAAATCACAAATATTAAAAACATATAGATGGCGCTGTACAAGATTTATTTTCATCAGTATGCATATTTTAGTATTTAAATTCATCGAAACACTAATGTACAGCGCCATCTATAAGATTTTTTCAAACGTCACTTTTAAATAATACATTACGATTAAATCAAGCAGCCACACGCTAAATTATTGAAGAAATTTTAAGAAAAATAAGATGTAAGATAAAAAAAAATTTTTTTAAAAAAACTTTCAACTAGAGATAAGATGACCACGTATAGCAAAATATAAAAATTTTACTATAATCAAATTGAATTAATTTTCAAGCAAGCTATTTATTTGCCAGTGAAAAATGACAAAAAAATGTTAATTTTTTTTAAAAAAAAAACTCAAATATTGAGCTAAAATTATGAATCTAACTAGAAAAATGTTGTTAAACAGCTTAATCTAACCGGTTTTTTTAAAAAGTTGACTAACAGATTTTAATCAAAAAAAATTAATACATGCGCAAGCCTGAAAATTTTACTCATAGATGTCTGTCAGAAAGGTTTAGACATCTATTAGCGAAATCTTGAAGATTAGGCAATGTAAATTTTGGAGCCGTTTTTTTTAAATGGGCTATATCGAACCATTTAGCAACACCAGAACGTGTATGTACAAATTTTTATCGGAATTGAAAAGAGTAGTCGATATCTCGCTTGCTCATTTGACACGGAAAGATCGGTGCATAGACACCTGCCACCGAGTCCAATTATTATTATTTTTTGAAGGATGACTTAAAACCTTGTCGGACCACCTAATTAATTTCTAAAAAAAATATAGTTTGGAGTCAGAGGTCAAATCTCTAGGTTTACACTTAATATTCGTATTAAGTATATTTTGCTAAATTTTACGAGCTTTTCGCAAGTTACAAATTTTTTAAAATAAAATTTCAAAATTTAGAGGAAAAATATTCGGTATAAAAATACCTTCACCCTACGATTGAATTTAGATAACTCACCTATAACGCTAGGAAACTTAGATTCCAGAATCATGATAACCAATTACAAAGCCCGGATCTGGACCGGGAAGAAACAAATATGGCAGACAGAAGAACATACGAATATGGCTCGGAAAGAATACCATTTTACGAAAATCGGTTAAGTCCAAACCGTTGATTTTCCCTACTATGCTGAGAACACGACGGGACCGAGTTCAAAAAGATCGCACTGAAAATATAATTGAAAAATAGACCCGTCCCGAGAGGTTCCGATTATTTTATATGGGGGGATCGTTAAATCGCGAATAACCCTACGGAGGCTTTCTATAAAAATAGCAAATAACACAAACCTTTTTCTCTTACCAAGAAAAGCATTTCTTTCTATAAGGCCGCGTCCAAAATATCAAAAATTTCGATTCACAAACTTTCGAAACTTTATCGAATAAAAATAAAAAATGCGACCTAAACATAATGATAAACCTCAAGACAAATAAAATAAAACTCTATTCTTATAATAAAGGCATAAGTTTACAAATTTAATCTTTTTTTTTAAAGCCAAAATACAAATTAAAACTAATAAAAAGTTATTTAAAAATGAACTCCCTCGAGAATAATTATGTAATAATATCGAAGAAAGTTACGAAATGTAAAATAAAGAGAAAAAAAAACAATTTTCTTTCCTTTTTCGTCTAATGTAATTTGGCTGAGTGAGTGTATTAAATATTTAATGTATTTCGGATAAAGTTTCCCCCCCCCCCCGCTTTAAATGACGACGAGGAAAGGCATAATAAAGAGTGTTTTGGCCATTAACTTTTTGGTTTTTAAAACTATTTCAAGAGAAGATTAAATGAGCGTAACGCGCATGCGTAATTATTATAATTCGCTTCGAAAGGAAACGTTATAAATGTATATATATATTTTTTTAAAAAAAACACAAATCTAAAGGGGCGAATACGCGAAAACCCGACCTCGCACCCGAAAGAACCGGGCGGAGGAGCGAGTTCAGACCTTTTTGAAAAAAAAATATACTATACCTTTTTCACTAAAATAAAAGGAATAGAAAAAAAGAGAGAAAGATTACAATTATTATTAATAAAAAAAGAAATTTCGGGCCGGATATAAATATTTAAGCCGGTCCGAATCGGGTTAAAAAAATAGCAGAGACAAAACGTAAAATTAAATTCGATGAATTATAATTTATTTTATAGATGGCATTATTATGGGGGGGGGGGGGTGTTTTGTATTTATTTTTGACTTTGATGTTTTTGTGCCGATCCACAAATTTTTTACCGATCCGATAACCGATCTGATATTTCGATCTAAATTGCTAGTATGTTATAGTTGGGTAACGGTTAAATGTCAGTTAAATTCGGCTCAATCTACATGGCGTGTTTCGGAGAAAATCCGTTAGACAGTGAGGTGTTTTAATTAAATATCGATTTCTTTCATATTTGGGGGCTATATTTTTGAGAGAGAGAAAAACCCAAGACCAAAGCGATAATTTTCGGGCTAAAATAAACTCGGTTTAGCCCATTTTTTTTAGCCGGTTAAAAATTGGCTTAAACTGCTAAAAATCTCGAACTCTTATAAGGCATGGGTGGATAAAACATGAAACACTTTGATTAATTTCCGTTTCTCACTGGTCGTACCACTGGTATGACTCTTCAAATTCTCGTCGCGAATTTAGGGATGATGGGAGTGGAAAAAAAACACAAAAAAAATCATTAAATATTTGTTTTATTGTATTTTTTTTATAATATTTATTTTTATGTGTATTTTTGGTTCTAATCATTTTTGTTTAAACATTTTCACCCAAGTAATATATTTTTTATGTGCATTTTTGATTCTATTCATTTTTGTTTAAACATTTGCACCCCAGTAATATATTTTTTAGGAATACTCTTGAAATCTAGCCATCCCCCCTCCCCTTCTACAAAAATGTAACGAATAAATTATATTATTAGATACTTTTTAACATAATTCGGTTTTTTTTAAAGACATTGAGCTACTATGTTTAAAAAAAATCGAAAAATTTTAAGAAAATATTTTTTATGCAAGTATGCTTAAATTTTCTTCTTATTAAACAAAAATTTTTTTTTATTTAAATCGGATATAAATTTTTCAAATTTCTAAGCCCGTCCAAAAAAAGGTAAATATTGACCCCGATCAAAAAAATGATTATATAATCAAATCCATGTTAATTTATCCAATACATTTAACTTCCGAAGCATTTTTTTTAAAATTAAATAATCATATATAGATCTTACTAGAGATCATCAGGGCCTGATCCGAATTGACCCAGTCCAAACAGCCCAATTAAGATTTTTTATAAAAATTATCGCGCGAAAAATAGATATGTCACAAATTTGCATTTCTAAGTTAAAAATAATAATAATATAACGTAAAAAAAAAGGACAGCAATATATTATTTTTTTTTAAAAAAAAATTCGATTTTGAAAAGCTTAGAGGTTTTGTGAAACGCGTAAAAAAAATTAACGCAAAATGTCTATAAATTACAAAACATACGTAAAAGATTATTTTTAAAAAATAAAAAACAATTAAATAACTTAAAAAAAACACTAAAAAAACAAGGCTGTTATCATAAGCGTTGGGCGGGGTACGGTTTTCATTTTAAAACATACGTAAAAGATTATTTTTAAAAAATAAAAAACAATTAAATAACTTAAAAAAACACTAAAAAAACAAGGCTGTTATCATAAGCGTTGGGCGGGGTACGGTTTTCATTTTGCGAGTCGTTGGGAGATTTCACGCAGACTTTAGCCTCGGGTAATAAATTACACAAAAAAATCGTAATTTTATTAACATAAGAGACAGTAAAATATTTTATTTTTTAAAAAAAAATAGGTTTTGAGAAAAGCTAGAGGTTTTTTTTTGAAACGCGTAAAAAAAAATTTTCGCAAAATATCTTTAAATTACAAAACATCCGTATTTTTATTAAAAATAAAAAACAACAAATAAAAAACAAGGCCGTTATCATAAGCGTTGAGCGGGTTACGTTATTCATTTTGCGAGTCGTTGGGAGATTTCGCGCGAACCTCAGCCTCGGGTAATAAATTACACGAAAAAAAAATTGCCATAAATAAAAACGAATAAAGAATATTTGACCAATAATAATTTTTGCGAGGATTAAAGCTAAAAAGCAACAGAAAACAAGGGAAGATAAATTTTTTAATTAAAAAAATAATAATAATTCTGCCTTCCCTTCCCCATTAAAAATAACCATTTTTGTAATATTATATTAATTTTATTTTAAAAAATTAAAAATTTTGTAACCATTATCTGGTGTCACAAAAATATATATATAAAATTATATTTTATTATTTAAGAGGATTATCGAGTTAATACGTTCATTTATATTCCAAACGAAAACATGAATGGGGAGGTGCGGGGGGGGGGTTATTTTTAAAACGAAATTTTGGATTTAGTGTCTTTTATTGCTAAGTCCACGTTTATATATATATATTCCCACCCAGAAAATAGGAAAATATTTAAAAAATATCCTTATTGTTATATGTATATGTACGGCATACTAATTTTCATCGATGATTATATATTGAAAGATTATCAATTGAATTTATTTATAAGTTATATGGGTTATTTATTATTTTTTTGTAAAGATCGATGTACTAAAATAAATCAATTTAAAGAGGGGGTATAATATAATAAATGAAAAAGGTTCACACGCCATCGTCCCCGACTGCGTAATAAGAACGCGTTTTACCCCGTATGTTATTCGAAAACTATTTGAAAAATCCGGGATCGGTATCGTAACGAATACCAAATCGGTTCGGTTAAAAACTGGCTCGAATTATTTTGGCATATAAACTTTGTAGAATGATGTAAAGAGAATCCCATTTTTTTAAAAAAAAATAAAAATTTTAACAATATTCCCTTGCGCGGGTGTCTAAAAAAATAGTAACGAGATTAGATTCCCTCCTCTGTCAAGTCATATGTTTGTGGCAAAAGAATTAACTTTATTATTGAGTAAGATGGCACCGTCAAAAACAATATAAAAAAATAAGTAATGGATATTTTTTTAAAAAATAGAAATTGTGTACTAATCAATTATATATATTTTTTTTTAAATATCAGCAAGAGTTCGAGCCGGCCACTTTTAGAGGTTCGGTCGAGTGAGGCTTGGGCAGCAAAATTTTTTAAAGGGATTTTTGCAGGCTTCGTAAAATTGGAATAAACGATACATCGTCAGCTGAGCGTACTCTCTAATCAATGACATTATAATAATACCCTATGATGATTCGGTCATTTATACAAATCGGCCGGTGGCCATGTTGATTTACCATCTAAACAATTCACCCTAAAAAGTTGTAATAAGTCAAATATCTTTGGGTCTAGGATCACGAAGAATGTGTCCCAAATCCGGGATACAGTAATTTCCTTTCCGCGAGAACCAATACATTTTTTTATCGAAGACGACAACAAAATTTAGCTTCAAAAATAATATTTAATTTGATTTAACTCTTAGCTAGTGAAATTTGCATGTTTAATCATCCGCTAAACAACGACCAAATCGTGTCGAAATGTAATATCACTCACTAATTTTCTAATGAATATTAACGGAATCATGGAGTTTAGTTCAATCTACTCTATATCACCCCCCCCCCCCTTTGGCTTCAGAAAATGGATTCGAACCCAGTTCCATAGGATTCGTGATCAACGCACTCACCGACTGGGCCACAAACGATATAAGAAAACATCAATTTTTTTCATGAAGTTTCTGACGTGTTTGGTAATTTTAAAAAATCATGGAAACAAAAACAGTGCCACTTTTCTAAAAGTAATTTTCGCGGGATTTACCTTTAAAAAAGAACATTATTAATTAGACGAGCCATCTTTTCCGGATTCCGTACATAGAATAACGAGTTTTTTTCTTCTTATAAGTGATGTAGTAAATATTACAAATTTTAAATGACTCACTTAAATACCCGGTACCATTATTCATACATTTTAATATTTAACCCATACGCACACCTTTTTTTTTGCATAAAAACATCTAAAATTTCAATATTGAATTCAAATAAAAATAGATTACATTGATGAGATATAAAATGAATGACTTAAGGGGCTGTCTTATAGTACTAATTTTTTTTTAACGTGATTATAAATAGCAAATAATAGTA